TTATATATATCCTCTATATGTTTAAGTTTTGTAAAACTTTGAATTTTTTTAAATTTGTTGATTCATATATTTCTTTTCTATATGTTTCTGTTTAATTTATTAGTACATTATCTCATATATAAAAAATATAAAATTCAATTATTTGTGCCAATATTTTATATCGCCATGACTTTTACACGAAATGATAAGTCAGAAATCAGGAATGTAAATATTCGCTGTAATCATTTCATATATTTCTAAGCGGTGAAAATACTTTCAAAATAAATTTTCTAATGTCTGATTAAATAATACATTTTTATTAGGGTGTATTATGAATTCTTTCCGACTGAGTTCTTCTGACTCTTTCAACTTTAAATTAGTCAATGCTACTGGAAAGAGACTATATTCATTGTCAGTAGTGTTTGTGAATGCTGTTTTACATATGTCACATTTTATGAATTTAAGAATATATTGAGATCGCAGAGATGAGTAACGTGAGACAGAGACAACAGCTGATTAGGAATCGAGCGCTTAGTCGCTTAGTGCCATCGGTTTGCGGACAAAAATAGCCATGATATAATGAGATATGGGAGAGTGTCAGGGGGCTGATCACAGGCGGTCCAACATACAGGCGCCTGCAGAACTAAGTACAGCCTCTGCCAACTTTCTCCCAAGCGCTCGCACATCGCGAAACGAGAGTACCGACTCAGCCCTCAGGGAGCTGGTGCAATGAACACATCCGCGTTTAAGATTCGCCCGGCGGGAGATATAAAGCCCGCCGCGATGAAACCGAATTGCTCAAGGTGATTCCTGGAGACAAAAGTAATCCACATTTTTGCCAAGTTGAATCGGACGAAATCGATGAGAATGCCGACCGACAGGCTTAGCACATTAGCTACCAGCGCAGCATCGCAGAGCGACAGCAGATGCACAACATCGCAGAGCGACAGCAGAAGCGCAGCATCGCAGAGCGACAGTGGAGGCACAGCATCGCAGAGCGACAGCGAAGGCGCAGCACCGCAGAGTAACAACGGAGGTGCAACACCGTAAAACCGATAGGAGACACACGGTCTAGCAGTCCAGGAGATACCACCGGCCATCGGAGAAGCGACACCGACAGCCTTGGAAATACATGCGCTTCGCCAAAGACTTCGTTATCGATTTGAATAACAACATTTGCTGGAGCCCCACGAAGTGGACATCTTGTACGCGGAGTCTATCATATTATTATTAGCGAGCGATTATTGCATTAGCCAAAGGTTATATCAAACCCTTTTTAGGATCAACACTGTAAATACTTGTAAATATTTGTAAATATCTGAGTTAATTGGATACATCGAAAGTCATAATTTCCTGGCAACACTTCACTTTCGGCATGCGAATCGACTCCTAAACGCTCCGTGGGCAGTTGAGATAAAAAACGACGGCCGGCTGTGATACCGTTACATCAACGACTTTACACAATCACATCGTTTTAGTATCTAATCGGAGTGGAATTCCTATTGTATCTAATCGGAGTGGAATTCCTATTGGAAACTATATATTACTATAGAAATATATTCATATAGAAAACCATTAAGGCTAGGGATTTACTGATTCAAAACGTTCATTAAAAACTATAGAACTTTTTTCTATAATTCTTTATAATAAATTTTTTTTAAGAAGGATATTCTCGCCTTCCTTGGATACTGATTGTTTTGACCATCGGAGAGACTTGGTTACGCAATTCAATCGACATTATGTTGTCGGCAACATGACAACAACATGTTAATAACATTAATCGTTTCAGCTTAAGCGTATGAAAATGTGACAGCAACAAAATATATATAATAATTTCTATCCGTTGTTGCAAATGCCTTCAAGCTAAAGTTTTTTAATTGCAGCTCGTTACTATTAAACAAAATGCTGATGACAATAACATAAGTTATTGTCAATGATATTCATGCTGACATGTTGCCATTAATTTGTCATCGCACGTATTCGAATTTCATTGAGTTTAACGCGACAGACATTTTGATCCCGCTTAAAAATCGTGATGCGAAACGTAAAGCAGCGGAATGAAAGATGGACAGAAAGGGAGAGGTTTTTATTGATATAGGAAGAAAATTGAAATATTTAATTGAATCTTGAAATGCTGTTTCATTTTGTCCTGAATTTGTCGAAATTAGCTACAATGTTTTCGGCAATATGTTAGCAAATACATTGCATTTGGTTGTCTGAGATTATTCATATACGAGAGCAAATCAATATCCGTGTAAGTGTTAGTAATAAAAATGTAAGCTTTTCACTAAAATTTTTTTTATTTTTCAACGTAATCCCCTTTTAAGAGGATATATTTTTTACAATATCCTTGTCATTTTTTTTAACCCTTTCGAAAAATACGATTTGCAAAACAGGTTTCTGTTTCGGCGATTCGAATGTGAATCTCTTTTCACCGAGCCCATTTTTCCAAGTTTAGAAACAGGAAGATGTCGTAGGGGACCAAATCTGGAGAGTATAGTGCATAATGCGGCAGCAATTCGTAGCGCAATTTGACCAATTTGACTGTGGCGACTGCGGAGGAATAAGCCGGTTTAATGAAACAATACTTTTTTTTCACTTTTTTTCTTTGATTCAACATTGAATCGAACCAGTAAATTAAATCAGTATAGTATACTATCCTGTGATAGTTTTTTCTTCTTCATGTAGTCGATGAAGATCACGCCTTGTGGATTCCAAAAAAACAGTGGCCCTTTTCCGGCCGTTGAGAATATCTTGGCGTTCTTCGGAATACGTTCACCGCATGAAGTCCACTCTTTCAACTGTTCCTTGATCTTCGGTGTGTAATAATGAATTCGTGTTTCATTAATAGTTACTCGATGCAAAAAACTCCTGCAGATTGCGCTTAAACAACTCCAAATACTGCTTCGAAATTGATAGCTGTATCTGCTTGTTGCCTACCGTAAACAATCGCGGCATTGAGTTGACAGCCTTTTCATTCTCAAGTTGTCATGCAAAAATATTGAATGCTGTTTCGTAAAACACACCTATGGTCTCTGCTACTTTATGCACTTTCGTTTGGCGATCAGCGAGATGTCGTTGACTTTTTCAATTTTCTCAGTAACACGTCTGCCGGGCGGCCTGGGCACTCCTCATCAAAAACAGACGAACGACCACGTTTGAATTCGTTGAATATCTGATGGTTGTCATAGATGAAGGGCATTCAACTTTGTTTTTATTTCTTTGTCCATTTTTCCTAAAAATAAAAAGCGAATCACGAATCGATATTGCTCTTTTTCCATTGTAATCGGAAAACATGCTCACTACAAATTGTTGTCAAATCAAGACTATTACATGAATCACTCTGAAATTTTGTACGGTGTCGTTTGAAAGATGCTAATACATGATAGTAATGCCAATTTACATCAGCAACGTCGCCTGTTTTCAAACATGGGTACTTATTGATTTGCCCTCATACAAAAGTTTTTCGCAATTAAAGTAGAACAAATACATCACAATAACATCAAAATGACGTTAAATTGAATCGTGATTGAATAAAAAAATGACTTTTAAACATTTTGGATCCATTTTAACATCACGATGATTTTTTTGTTCTGTTTAAATGTTTTTCAATTTATTGCATATGATTGATTTTAGAAACATTTCTGCTACATTTTATATGACATATTCCAGAATTGTTACACATGAGACGTAAAAGGTTGAAACATTTCTGAAAACTTTCTGCAATAATTGATCCTATAAGAAGAGTGTTTTTTGTCATACTAAGGAAAAGAAAATGTTCTTCTACTAAATTCTAAGGAAAAGAGAATGTAATAAATTTTAAAGGAAAAGAGATTTCTTATATAATACTTTTTATAATACTAAACTTTTTAAAATAATGTGTTACTTGTATCGATAAAATGTATTAATTTCTTACATTATTTTTTGAGACAAATTAATTTTTTTGACAAAAATATTTGTTTTTATCATGTTATTTATTAATATATATAACTAATAAAAATTTGTTTGATTGAAAAATCATCATTAAAATTTTGATTCTGTTAATCTTTTTCAGAAAAGGAAGGAAGAACAATTTTTTCTTATTTATATATTTTCTAATTTACATATTTATTAAATGAAATTGATTAACAGATTTATTATCCAATTAATTTTCCTTCGGCCTCCTTAATTTTTAAAATGTATATATAAAATTATATATAAATATTTTATATATAAAAATGTATATATAAAATAATTAAATGTATTAATAAAAATTTGTTTTATTAAATAATAATCATTATTGAAATTTTGAGTCCGTTAATCTTTTTCAAGAAAGGATGAAAGAACAATTTCTTTATTATATCTTTATTATAATCGAATGAAATTGATTGATCGCTCCATTATCCATTATCCATAATTAATTTCTTTATAAGTTCTATAATTTTAAAAATGTAGCGACTTCATAAAACTCAGCATGTAGGATACTTATGTATTTATGTATATAATATTTAACATGTACATTTTACATTATAAGATATTTTTTATAT